TATTCCACGTCAGCAGTTAAGTCTGCGCAAATGGCGAATAGTCCGTAAATGGGCACAGTAAAACAAATTACAACCGATGAGACGCAAACCATAAGTTCACAACAATTAAGCAACGAAAAAAAGACAATAGATGCAGAAAAATTGCAGGGTTCTATCAGTTTGTTAAAGCCGAACATTTGTGCATGAACAGGTAAACTCGAGTACCACACTGTCCAACGGGAAAAATATAAAGAAATTGAACTACTGGTGAATGTGCAGTAGTATCGCTCAGAATCGAGCATGTAGAATTCACACCCGTATGCCATTTGGGTGATATGTTTCTCGTTTGGTGCCCGGTCCAATACGTAGTATAGCTTAAGCCCGTAGTGTTATTGGCGTAGCTCTCACGCCTCGACGTCTCGGAACTTTACTGTTTCTCACTTTCGCGTCTCAGCAGGGTTGACCCAGCTTAAACAATGTCCCCACATCTGACAGAATTTTCAGCACCGCCACGTGCGCTGGCGAGACTTCGTTGAGTTAGCAAGCCTAATTCCACCTTGCTTTGCATCGCTAAAGTGAATCATAGCATTCGAACATTGTGCCTCTCAAATGCTAGTCTTGCTGCGTACATAAAGGAACCTGTTAACCATTATCAAGGGGAGGCTTGTGAGAGCTGTGTTTGTTTTACTCTTTCTTCTGGCGAACGATGATTTTGTCAAGTTATAAATGGACCCTGAAATGATACAAGTTTTAGTTGCAGTTGGGGGATGATAAATTCAGAAGTAGAGACATTCAAAGGACATTCCAAAAGTCTGTTTTATAGTCAACAACATTTCCTTGCTCCAAAAGTCGGTAAATGGAAAGATGCTACATGGATGCAGTTGTGAATGTTTTTGACAAGTTTACCAGATCGCGGTGAGATTAAGTGTAGAATCTGTTGACCTCCGCTGTCCGGCATACTTAGGTAAGGCGATGGAACGAGTACAGAACAATCTAAGTCCTAATTTGTTTGTGGGATCCAGAGTACACTGTGATTGAATTGGATTCATGGCTACCAGGTCTAGATTGAGTACAACTCTCGGAATGCAACATACGCATTCAGCGTTTAATGAGACTATAATGTGGCCAAACTAGCCGAACACCCTCCTCAATAAATTGATGCATCTGTTCTCAGATTCTACACTTAGTGGATTTCACCATGCACAATTCTCTAATCAGAAGGTCAGTTTCAGGGTTTACTCTTAATTTTGACTCATTTATAATCTCTATGAAGCAGAAATCTGAGGAAAGTACTATATCATCCAACTTGGTAAATTTCGCTTAGACATGGCTTTGCCCGATTAGGCGCCCCGCGAATTCGATCAGTGAATAGCGCCGACACTTCATGTAGCCTGTCTTTTCGGTGTAGCTAAGGGTATTTAAATTTTCAATAACGGGTACTAATTGCAATGGGTTACGATTTTATCGGCTTTTGATTCTGTCACCAAATGCCGAAGCTCAGTTATCACAATAACTACAGAGATAGCTACTCGAAACGGGGTATAACCTAGATGTCATTCGGTACTTAAAACATTATTATTTCCGTCATGACTATCAGTGCTGAAATGTAAGCATAAGTGTGCTTGTTAAGCTGGTGACTGACTTCAAAATACCTTTGAAATTGGCACGTTGTCCTACGTTAGTCTTGGTTTCTACATAGAACAGGCATAAAAGAAAAGTACATTGTATTACGCTTTTTAGCACTATCATAGTAAACTTTGTTTTCCGTGACACAGCATTCTGGTTTGTAAACCAGCTTCATGAGTCTTCCATACAACCTTGTCATGCAGCCCCACGTTTAGCGCAGGTGCTTACTTGTCATCTTACGCAGGTTCATTCGCATGTACTTCAATTGACCTTGAGGTTTAATCATGCGCAATTCGTTGGGCTTTTCCGTAACAAATACATCTTCTCTAATGAGCTTATTTGGGTTAATCGGTTGATAATTTTGCGTTATCTCGTACACAAATTACTCACTGCGGTTTGAAAGTGTGTGGCTATGACTGACACCAGACGAACCGACTTTAGGAATCGTGTCATTCTCGACAGCGCTGACTCACTAGCGCAGCCCACTGAAACCAAAACTCGATTCGGTTGTGTAGTAGTTTCGATTAGATAATAGCCAGTGTAGACCAGCGATGTTCGGCCTACTGTACCATGTTGGACAGACAGAAGCGTAAACATGCTGTGGCCGATGACACAGCTGAATTCGGTTCAAACCAATGAGCGACGAGAAGTAATTAAGCATTGTGTTCAAAGCAATAAATAACGGATCCGAGTTTGTATCTAAACAAGGAAGATAAGCATGCATCTGCTGACAATATTAGTAGCAACACTACTGGCTCTTTACGTTAACGGCTGCTTTAATACGATAGTAAGTCTCATGCAAAGGCCATGCATTTGGTTATATACTGCAATTTGAAATGTATATGTGGTCTGATAAACATCTGGAACTTTGCTTTTAAAGCATTAACTTATAATATTGCCAGGCCCAATCGATAATATCGCCACTGTCATATTTTAAAGCTGGTGGTGCATCATATACATTTGTCATATTTTTATTTTATTTTATTTGTTTCCTTAGCGTATGCTTTGTAGCTGAATATTCACTCTTCACAGGTGCATAAAGCGCATTCTTGACTTCACTTATCACACGCTGCATGCCAGTGAGGTTAGCCATATATCGAAGCCATTAATGTAGGTGCTATTGAAATCAGTTGCGACTCTTAGAAGTAGGCAATTCCTTGGAAAATTTTCCAAATAGATAACATTGCCTACCTCGATGCTAGGATGTTTTATTATGGTTTATCGAAAGCTATTTTAAGTTAAGACGTTATGAAAGTGAAGGTGTCTGTCTAAATGCAGTATGAGCTCGTAACCTGGACTTTTCACTTCAGGGTAACAATGGTAATGAGCGCAAGGAATTTGAAGAATTTAAAGAAAAATTCGGCAAAATGTATAGCCCTGAAGGTACGCACACTTATTTTTTCTTACGCAGCAACTATTCCGATGCAGAGGAAGAGCAGCGCTTTAAGAACTTCGTTGCAAACCTCCAGCGTGTTAAAGCGCTCCAGGAGGAGTCTTCATCTACCACTGAATTTGGAGTGACAAAGTTCTTCGATTTGACGCGTAAGTGTAGTCGCCTTGCTTTGCACCTGACATCATTTTTCCTGTTCAGCTGAAGAGTTTGCCGCTCGATACACTAACTTGAAACCTCAAAATGTGCGCAATGAACACGAGGAACCTGAAGAGGGTTTCCATGAAACAGAACGGTTGTATTCTAAAACGCTCCAAGGGAAAGCCTACTAATCATGTTGTTGCATTCCCTGTACTGGTCATAACCTTTTGAATTTAGCTCACTATCACCTCCTACTTCATCGAGTTTAAAACAGAGGAAATGCTAAGTATCTTTGTATCATACCGGTGAATAAAATCTCTCGTAACATCATCCTACGTCTTACTGACAGAAGTGAGCATTTGCAGTTGTTTGTAACATTCGTTTACGTATTTGTATTTTGTGATCAACGCCCCCCAATCAAACATAACGATAATAAACATGAAGAATTAGAACATTATTTTGCTGCTCGTATGTGCCGAAAATTATTAGGTGAACAGTTAAAGAGAAGTGTAACTGACGAGCTATAAAACATCGTTAACTGTTTTACCGTGGCCCTTTAACTCACAAAGCCTGAATTTGGTGTAATAGTACTCTCAAAACACAAGCAAGCAGAAGGAAGAAATGCCAAAACGCTGAGATAATAGTTGCGTATGGTAAAATTGTCAACAGTCTTCTGGAAACGTAACTATGAACTCGTGGGTGTATGGGGGAATCATGATTGACTTCAGCTAACTGCCCTAATCTCAACTAACAGGCGCCCGATGCAAAGTAAGCACGGAGGCATAAGACAGGGAGGCACGTAGATAAAAGCATCTGGAGAAACGTTCGCTTAGTAGTAAGTATATTGAAAACTTTTTTGTCTTAATATCTCGGAATATGCTTGGGACAGACTGGGATTTCATGATTTCAGAAGGCTATGAATATAAATCGGTTTTTATGGGATTTAATATGGCAACGTTTCGCTCCTGACGCAAGAGCTTCTTCAGGCCGTGTTGCATAACAAAGTGAATATTATGAATTCTCCTAGTCTGAAATAATATGCACATTTTCTTCTCAACCAACTAGTAGCAATCTTTGACACTGGTAATCCAGATAATCTTTCTTGTTGAGTAGATTGCTTAGTAGAACTTCCAGCGAACGCATCGAAAACTGACAGCTCATACGAGAATAAACCTGAGGGCAAAACAATCATTAAAGTCTGTGCGAAACTATAAGAAGACGAACAATGCAAGATGGTACCATTTCGTGTTATCTGATCACTTGCAAACCGACAACATGTATCGATCACGTAAGGAAACGATCGTTTTGAATTGGTCATAAAAATATGCACACAATCAAAGAACAATTGCTGGTAGCGCTGGGGCAAAGGCTATGAATACTCCAAGGAAGCTTAAGGGCAACTCTCGGTAGCTTTTGCACACAAATGGTGGGACGGTAACGATTTAGGGCCAAAGTCTAGGCAAACTTCAGCAGCATGACGTTTTCGTTTCGTTAAATAACCGTAAAAGTTGACTCAGTGTCAACCTGATGACTTGTACTGACTAGGTGTCTAGCGATGGATGCTGCCGGCAGTATACCTGCTGCTCCTTGTCCGATTACTTTTGTGCCGGCAACCCAGCAATTCGCCTCGGAGTGTGCTATCCAATTCGCTTACTCAGGCAACGATTTGCTTTGCCAATGTAACTGCTTCTGCAGGAACAGACGAATTGGTAAATGCAATGAGTTGTGGTGGAGACCAGTTGAGTAGATTTTATTAGGGGCATCGGTATTCTTCAGATTTCGCAGTCACCCTAAGGAAAGTATAGTAAAAGTACTTACTGTGCCAAACATGTCCGTATATTTACAGCTACGCTTCAAAGGTAATGTGGTGACTGCTCAAATTAAACGACGGGTGAACAGAGCTATTTGCCGTACATTCAACGTTGCGAAACTCTGTCCCGTCTGAACTACCAAAAAGCTACCGATGCCCCTAATCAAACATACTCAACCGTTCTCCACCACAACTCATTGCATTTACCAATTCGTCCGTTCCTGCAGAAGCAGTTACATTGGCAAAGCAAATCGATGCTTGAGTAAGCGAATTGGATAGCACACTCCGAGGCGAATTGCTGGGTTGCCGGCACAAATGTAATCGGACAAGGAGCAGCAGGTATACTGCCGGCAGCATCCATCGCTAGACACCTAGTCAGTACAAGTCATCAGATTGACACTGAGTCAACTTTTACGGTTATTTAACGAAACGAAAACGTCATGCTGCTGAAGTTTGCCTAGACTTTGGCCCTAAATCGTTACCGTCCCACCATTTGTGTGCAAAAGCTACCGAGAGTTGCCCTTAAGCTTCCTTGGAGTATTCATAGCCTTTGCCCCAGCGCTACCAGCAATTGTTCTTTGATTGTGTGCATATTTTTCTGACCAATTCAAAACGATCGTTTCCTTACGTGATCGATACATGTTGTCGGTTTGCAAGTGATCAGATAACACAAAATGGTGCCCTTTTGCAGCTCTGGTTTTCTTATTGATTTATTCGAACTGATACAAAGAACACGATGCTTTAAAAATCATTAAACTGCCATTGAACTGAATCTTTTAAGTACTGCGATTTGACCGTCCTCAGAACCCGCGCAGCTTGCCAATACTGGGAAGACAAAGGACACTTTTGTTTGACTATTTGCTACAGCTATCATAAACGTAAGCGAAGTGATTGAAACCAGTCAGATAGTTTGGAAAACGTAAAACATGTAACCTGAAACGAAGACGGATAAAATTCATGGCATCTCTGTATTCTCTATGATGATGGTAATCAAGATGCACAGCTAGGGGTACCGTTCTCATCTCTGGGGCTGTCATGGTTAATTGACTGGATTTCCTTAAGCAAACGTTAGCACGCAGTGTGCATGACGACATCAACTTAGGTCTTATCATGCAGCATACTAGACATTGTTTGATTGTGGTCACCGCGTATCACCCCCTGCCTGTAGTTCTGATACTGCCAACGAGGACATCTACCACGAAATGTACACCCCACTACGCAGTGTTATCAATCCAGACATTATGGTGCTTGCAGGAGAAAGGAATGCACAAGCAGGTTGTCGGAACTCCAACCGGACAGCCCACGGTGTACGTCTGTTGCAACTATACGTGGGGTTTTGGCAGTTTGTTAGTTGATGGCGCCGAACTTCCACTTGGTGTCCAACTATAGCTAACCAACGATGGACCCAAATAAAGCACAAGTTGCGACAAGTTACAGGTGGAGTGTTTCCATTCTGGACTGTCACTGGTTCTGGAATACCTGCGTCTACTCTCAGCATATGTTGGTACGATGTCGTTTTTTCATAAACTTTACTGGTTGGCGAACCAAGTGCCTTTCTCGATTGCGCAATGAAAATTTGTCCCAGTACAAGTACAGCTAATCCTACCAGGATACCTTGCGTACCAAAATTTCACTGGCACCTCTTAATGACACTGAGCTTCAGCGTAACCGAATCTCGGCCGCCATGCATGACGCAGGATACCCTGCGTTAACCCTATCAATCATCACTGCAGCAATCTCTGTATATCCGAGAACTCGAAGGACATGTTAGAACTAGAGGAAAACTCCCGGTTGACCCTGAGCACAATGTAACCAGACGGACTCTAAGGCGCCAAGTAAAGCGGAAAAGAAAGCCCAGTGGATCAGTAGATTCACAGAAGTGGAGAAAGCTGAAGCAGTAGGCAATCAACGCATGTTCTTCCAACTGTTCCGTACTACTGGTCACAGGAAGCCAGGTGACAGTTGGACACTCAGAGTCAGCATGGCTATCCTGATTCACAAAAATGAACGAATGAATGGACCTCTGCCTACTTAGGTTGTGTAGGCTAATGAGTGGCGGGTTAGTTTAGAAGCTTCAACGGAACGAGATCACAGATCACAGTGATCACTGAAGATAAACGATTCCTGAACAAAGATCAAGGTGGGACAAAAATTGGGGTTGAAAACAGCGGAGATAACTGTGTCGTTGGAACGGGACGATGCGAATGAAAAAGCACAAAAGATAGAAGAAGACTGGAAAGCTTGAACAATAGCATCCGAACCTCTATGCACCCTGCTCGATACAGCAGATGGGATCCGTTTTTTCTCCTCTACGACGGACAAAAATTTACTTTAGCGCAGCCACCATGTATATTGCCTACGCAGGATACTATCAGGTTGTCCAGGCCTAGACAGGAGAACGATTAGGATTCTCAACCATGGCCTTTGGTTCAAAAACTTACAGAAAGGCAGCGTGATTTAGGCACTGGACTACAGAAAAACCCGTTTAATGGAATAAGGAGCCACGCTCACTCCAAACCCCAACCTGGAAGGCCAGGTGACTGAGTTTGTCAGGCCCCTAACAATTGACCTACCTGGTATGAGTGACGCTGACGGTGCTATAGCACCAACCAACACATCCCAATGGATTGTTGAGACACACACCATCGCACTGCGTTAAAGCCCATTCTCGCCAATAGCATTACTGATTGCCTGAATGTGATGAATAAAATTAGCTGTCTTATGTTTTGTTCTAATTGGAATGACAAACTTGAGTTCGAGAACAAATGTATGATATAACGGTATAACGGCTGAGCCGTTGAATCAACCTTAGCTGCTGTACTGGTTGACTTCTTTCACAGTATCGAACGCTTCCCAGCTGACTGTTGCGAATGTCAAAAAAGGGTCCTAAGAGACCTGGACTAAATGTCATCTGTGACAATTTGATGTTTGCTTCGCCTCCTGAACTATGAAAACTTCGCTTGTTTTCCTTCTGAGGAGCAAAATGACCAAGGATCTCCTCTTTGGCTTATGGGCAACCCTTACCTTAACGAATGAAGTTCACCTTATTTGAGGAGTTCCAAATGTAAATGGTTGAGTCAGTTGCTCCTTGCTGAGTCCTACAAGGTGAACACTTCAAGGAAAGTGATTCCTAAGTAACCTGAACTATTTTATGCCCAAGTTCACTCATTGTTAAGACCATCTGACTGCCCTTCCGTCTAGCCGACGTTTCCAGCAAATCTTTTACCTTTTTTATGTACACCTCGATATATATAACATTGCACACGCACCCGGTTTTAGTTCATTATATTTATGCCTATGCGCACCTTTTTTCCTTTCCCACTTATGCAAAAGCAAGTTAAAGTCTCGGGACTAAATGGATAGGTTTGTACTATTTACCTACACCAAATACACTGTGTCATGCCTTTAGCTTTCCTTTAGTGGAAGCGTGTGTCTCGAGACATACTTCAATAGATAATTTCGCGGTTTCTCGGTGTCTTCTCGTCAGTCGCTACAGATGAATATTCTAATCTACCTCAAT